CGTATAGTGCTTTAATTTTGCGGAGCTTAAATTTCGTGGATTGATAAAAATCAATTTTTTGCGGAAATAACTTTTGCCATAGATAATGATTCACAATCATTATCTAATAATGATTGTGAAAATAATAATGATTTAATAATGAATAATAATTAATAATGATTGATTCACAATGTTAGTGCCACACCTTTAATGGTAATTGAAATTTTAGCGGATCTTTAATTTCTCGGTTTCATGCTAACCGCAACAATAGCGAAAATTTAGCTCCTCAAAAATAAAGCGCTATACGGTATTACCACATGCACGACACTTATTGATTTGTGTTTCTATTATTTAGTTCACTCCATCTTTAAGAATTTCATGACAGTGGAGGCCTTGCTGCACAATCCAATAGTTCACACTTTTGTGAATATGTTGAGTGATGATGTCCCTAACTTGCACAGCAAAGGAACTAATTCTGGTATGCACTATATGTATCATTGTATAACTGATTGCTATCATTGTTTCTATAGAGCTTGGTCATCATAAAACCTCATCTCCTCACAGGGTTTCTCGTAAAGCATACAATCGTTGGTTTGTTGCATACACACTGATCAAGAACCCTTCACTGAGGAAGAACCATGTCTCTGAGGTTAATGTCTACGAAGAATTTGAGATTACAAAGGAAGAATTTGAGATTACAATGGAAGAATTTGATTAGCATAGATTTCTAGTAGCAGATAAATTTTTAATTAGATAAGAACAATGGTGTGGTTTGTTAAATTAATCATCAATTTTATTAATTGGAATCATTGCATGCATTATGAATGATTTTGTTTGGATGGGTTAGGCTGGACTTGGATCATCATGTCTACCGCTAATTCCACTTCCATCGTTCCTACGGACAATCCTGCTCTTTCTGGAACTCTCCTTACTTATAAGTCAGTATCTAGTGTCTGTTATTCCTGTTCACTTCAGATCTAATACCATTCCTTTGTTTAGCTCTGTCGTTTTGTCTTCATTTGTATTGTTTGTAATCTCGGTGAGTTATGCAGCTGTAGCTTCATTTAAAGTAGTCTAGCAATAGTAAACAGCCACACACCATGCAGGCCCTCACGATCACTAACTTAAAGGGTTTGCAAGCTGCTATAATACCAGTGTGATGATGGGAGGGGTGGTTTTGGGATTTTTAAAATTCAAAGAGACAGGCCCTCATCACTATCATAATTATAATTGCTTAGATCTACAGGTAGTTTTGTCTCTTTCTACTTGATTAGGCTGTAGTTTGGGTCATACTTAGTTTCCTGCAAAAGAGGACCAAGAAGTTTCTGGGTTGCTGTGGAGGGCGGCCAGGAATTGTTTTGTGAGTCAGGAATAATGATATTCATCAGTTCCCAATAAGACTACATTTACTTGTTCCTGATATTACAATATTGACAAATCTACTGTATAGTCATAGTCTTTTCCTCTGTATGTATAAAGAGTAACCACGTAATCTTCTGATTATCAATTATCAATAGCCTTCACTTGGCTAGTTCATGTAATTTTTTTCCTTCTTTCCAGTCCCATGAACTTCCTTAATCCTCGGCACAGGCTTGTGTATGTATTAGCTTGTGGTGCATTAGCCTCGACTTGGTTCCGTGCTTTAAACACTGGAGACTTCTCTGATGTCAATAAGTGGGCTGTCAGCATCGTTAAGAGTTAGTCAATAAATTACTGTTGTCATCATAGTTTGTATACTGTAGTTCTTTCTGTTATATTTTTATTGTCTTGGGAAATATTTATAACATTCCCACTCCTGGCCTGTGTTGAGGCACCTGTTCCTATTGTTGGATATATCTTAGGTGCAATCTATACTGATGTACTGTGAGTTTTTATTGCATTTATAATTATTATGAAATGCTATTTATGGATTATTTT